GAGAGCGATGACAAGATGGAGATGCCACCGGACAAGTACCGCGAGGTGTTCGACCTCGCACAGTGTGGCGCCCGCGCCTTCCGGGAGCGCCGCTTCGACGAGGTAATCCACTAACTTGCCCACTCTATTCGTCATGTGTAGCCCGATTGCGACGGTGTCCGATGGTTTGACGGCAGCAGCTTCAGTTATCGGGAGAGGGCGGGAACTGGATTGGGACTGACTAGGGCAAGTGCATGTAAGATGTAACAGGGCTACGGTCGGCTTAGTTTTGTATGTTTATGCACGAGTGCCTGAATTGGTGAATGGTGTGATGCGAACAGAAAATTTAGCACGGCATGCTGAAATATCTTTTGTACCAGCACCGGAAAGGAAATATTGTGTTCATGCTAGTTAGTCAATTTTTCGAGAAAACGCTTGCGTTTCATTTCATTGAAAAGATGGACGAGAGAGCAATCCTCCTAGGAGGTGAGTTTTACCATGTCACGAGCCCGATCAATGGACATCCCAGGAAGTGGGCAGAACAACCCTAAGCCCCTGGGCTCCTGCCTTTGCCCAACATCGGGCCTCGTCTTCGATCCTATCTACTAGCGAATCGATGGAGGGCGTCGCATTGTCGAAGACACATGCATTCCCGTGCTTCCATATCATCCAGGGAACGAGCAAGGCGATGGAATCGAGGGCCTTTCGATGCGTTGGCAGCATATGCTCCTTCGCGCGCAGCCACCATTCCATGACAGTGGGTTCCTGATCTGGTGCCTGGATCGGCATGCGCAACCAGTCCAGGATGGTATGCCAAGTTTGTCGAGCAAAGGGGCAGGCCAGGAGCAGGTGTTGGATTGTTTCCGTGGCCTGGTCGCAAAGGAGACATCTGGGGTGATGCTGCATTCCGAGCCGCACAAGCCTTTCTGCCGTCCAGAAGCGATCTTGGTTGGCCAACCAGCGGAAGAATTTTACCCGTGGCGGCGCCCAGCTTTTCCAAACCAACTTCCAGGAGGGGCACCGCGTAGATCCCTGGAAAGTGGCCGCATAACATGACTGCGCCGAGTAGATGCCGTTGGCCGTCCACTTCCAGAGCAGCCGGTCTGGTTCGTTCGAGAGGATCGTGTTGCTGCGCGAAATTGATCCACACAGCACCACAGAATCCTCACTTTCGTGGAGGTAAACCGACTGTTTTTCAATGCAAAATGACAAAGATAGCCAAACCCTAGGGTTGCTAGGGCTGGGCAGAAGCTACGAGCTAGGTGCTGGAAAGAAAAGAACGTAGGAGAAAAAGTAACGTAAGGTTGTACAAGGATCGATTGATTCTTCAATCGGCCATATACCCACATATATAAGGGTATGCCTGGCCTTTGGCAAATTGGAGTAGGACTCCTGACGTGCTGTTTCCTTGGCACATAAGCTAAAAGGCCTTTCCTAATCTTTAATTAATTCGTCTATATCTGTAAAAGCATCAGCCTGGGCCCAATACTAGTAGACTTTCCATATTAGCTCTGTTTTGGCAGAATAACTGATTATGCAAAATCTTTCCCATCTTCAGTTTTCCAAACCAGACCTCTTTCCTTCTTTCTCTCCATGCGTGAGTTCTAACACACAATTTTGTTCCATCCAGCCTGCTGCACCTAGCCTCTGTATTTGCAATCATGTGTGCATTCTCAAACAATTAGCTTGACCACCAAGACTAAATAATCTGGGCGACCCCTCAAGCCAGATCCAAATTGGACTATCAACACATGCCCCCCTGTTTTTGGTGTAATTGTATTTACCAAAAACACCATGGCAATATCTTAGGACGATGTCAACCGCTTCACCGGCCATATCAACTGCTTAGGGCGATGTCTAAATAACACATCGGCCAAATTTTGCTTAGGGCGATATCTGAAATCATATCGGCCATAGTGCCATCAAGCTTCTTGGCACATACTAGGATAATACTTCTTTAAATATTTTCCTTTGAGAG